ATCCTCTAAAGAGAGAGGGTCGATTGTGTTCCGGATGTTATGTCGTTGTTTCAATACTCTATTATACTTTATGAAGATCAAACCATTTAGACGATGTAGTGCAAGTCTATTCATTTTTTTCTTTTATTATTATTATTATTATTTTCTATCAAGCTGCAAAGTATAAAAGAAAAAAGTTCAATTACAATAATTCTAAGTTTCTAACAAAGAAGTTAAAATCATATTTCTCACAATCATAAAGAACTAACATGTTAAAAAATACTCATATTCCGTTCACATCCACACGCACTACAAGTAAGATCTATAATTCTCATAACAAACTTCCTCTTTGGAGTTGAAATGACAATGTCATCCCACCATTCCACTATTAAATATTATCTGGAGATCTTTTATTTCTTTGTCTAACTGCCATGGGTTTTGACATGTTAAGGATGAATAAACCACCACTCAACTAAAAAGCTTAAGTTGATGGGTTGGGATCGAACATAGGACCTCCTACTCTGATACCATGTTAAGGATGAATAAACCACCACTCAACCCAAAAGCTTAAGTTAATTGATTGGATAAATTTAATTCATTTATGGATACCTAACATGACACATGATACATCTCATTAACAACTTCATCATCTTCTGTAATGTTAATATTTGAATAAAAGAATTTCGAGTTTAAATAATATCCTGCTGCATGCAAAGAGGGTCAAAATGCAAAAAGTCAAGTTCGGGTGTGTGATTTCCCTTGTTTATAAGGGTAGAAAAAAGCTAAATTAGTGCTGTTTTCTAACGTTTTACATACAGAAACCGTATTTTAAGCTTATTATAGTGTACAAAACCTTTCATTTGAAGTTATCTTAGGTTAAACATGCATATAGGACATTTTTACCAATTTAGAGTTGATTTCTAACGAAAATTACAATTTTGTTCAGAAAAATTCCAAGTTAGGCGCCTGGCACCTTCCCCAATCCCGAGAATTCCCTTAATGTAAAACGCTAGTTTTGGTGTGTTTTCAAGTTTCCCCAAGCCCCTCCACGTGTCTTCCATGCATTGAGAATTGTCAACTCAACAACAAACCAACTAAAACGTGTTTTAAAAGGATGACTCACAACGAAACTCTCAACCTCCTAACTGCCTTCAAGTTCCTATAAATACAGTAGCTCCCTCACTTCATTCATCATCCTTAACTAATCATTTCAGCTTTAGATACTTTACTCTCAGCTTACTTACGTTTTCCTTTTAAGTTTTGAGTTGTTATTGTTTTAAACTTTACTTATTTCAAGTTCATACTTTATTTTCCAGCTTGTTATTCTTAATTGTAAGTTGAATCTTATACCATTAAAATTCCAGCAAATTCTTTAATATTCATTTCTCTCTCTTTCTACAGAGTTGTAATCACACAAGCTTGTGGAATTGACCAAAATAGAAACTTAGTTAGAATTTGAAAATATATATATATATTTTCCTTCCTCCTAAATTAAAACTTTCTTTTGAAGGGTTTTTGTGTTAAGGTGTTAAAAAATTGCTTGGTCGAAATTTTTTTATAAGAGAGGCGCCTGGCACATCGACACGTTTCAAAAATTCGAAAAACCGTGATTTTAATTTAGAGAATTAGTTTTGACTTAAAATAAAAGGGGTGCGATAATTTGTCGTTTTTAATCAAATTGGGAGGTTTAAAAAATAAAAAATAATAAAAGCACATATGTTTTTCGTTTTGAGGGCTTTAAGATAAAAAAAAAATGGGCTTTTTAGTTTTTTGAATCTTTGTGGGTTTCCTTTTACAATTGGGTTTTTTATTTAATTAACCTTAAACCCTAATTTCAAAAAAAAAAAAAAAAAGAAAAGAAAAACCAACAAAGGACACTTTATCTCTTTCTTCCCCTTTTCTTACCAAAATAAAAAATAAAAAAAATCAGCCCCAATTTCCCTCCCTCTGTGTTTTGCGACAGTGAAGGTGAAACACAAAATTTTTTTCTTCATCCTTCTTAGTCGTGCTTCCATGGCTTCTTCTTCTAAAAACACTATCTTCCCCTCTTCATCTACCATGGTACCCATAAGTTCTCCCTCCCAAAATCCCAAAATATGAACTTCCAAACTCCCAATACACAGACTTTTTGTCCAACAGCAACAATTGGAAGTTTTCTACCGTTTATCGCTAACCCGACACTGCCACAAGTCTCGATACACAACCAATATGATGGGTCATTGGTCCGAGCTCAAAACCCACGAACTTTAGGAGCGTTTCAACAGCGTTTTGACCTTCTTCCGGCCAGTTTTCAACAGCAACTTGGGAATAATTTTTCTAGTATGTATCCTTAGTTTCCTCCCACTTTGCCCACTTACAGTTCACATGCTTCCAATTACCCAACTTTCCCAATAGGTCTTCAACCTATTTATCATCAAAATCAATTTTTTCCCCTCCAAAACCATGTTGTCCAGCCGCAACATTCACTCGGATTAGGCCAAAATTTGTTCAATTCTACCCAAGTTCCCCCACCTATAGTTAGTACCTGTCCCCCTTCATCTCAATTTATGTTTTTAGGAGGGATGCCAATGAGTGGGTATCAACCGAGTAATATGTTTTCACAAGGTCGGAGTTTTGGAACGTTATTGAGACCTCGTGAGACTCCTTTCATGCCCGCTACTACATCTAACACCCGACCACCATTACCCCATCAAAAAGTTCATCCCTATGGCTCCCCCTTATAGTCCTCCTAGTAACCCACATCTTCCTTTAGAACCTTTAGTTGAAAATAAAGATCATGTGAATGCTGAAAATAAAGGAAAGGAGATCCCAAGGAAAGAAGGCAATGTAAATTTTGATGAATTGGGGCACCAACAAGAGAGTCGACACGGAGAACACAAAGGGGGAAGTTCAGGGGTGCGAAGCATGGAAATTGACGATAGTTTGAACATGGAGATTAAGGCAAGGCGTTTGACACCTCCCTCTATGACAATAGGGGTAAACTCGAGACCGGATCTGTAGATTATCTAGCAGGATAGCGAATAAGAGTAGGGAGGATAAATTTCGGAGGTACACATCTGATGAATGGGAAGCAATGTTGAAAGATGATGGGAGGATTGCCAGTCAAATAGCTTGGAGAGCTTGTTATATGTAACCTCCTATATAATCGCCAATAAGATCCAGAACAGTAAGTCTCCAAGAAGAGGAGATAGAAGTTGACGGCTAGTACCTCTTAATATTTCCACATAAATACTACCTGAAAGTTCACATGAATAGGTAACTAAACCTACACAAAAAAAGAGAGATTGTGTGGCTACCTTACTTGGAATTGGAGTTCGAGATGTCTTGGACAAAGAAATATCACCACCTTTGAAAATTTATGGCGCGTGGGAAATTGAGTCATATCCCTCCTTGTCGGCTTGAAATTATTTGAATGCCCCTTCAGTAAATTCGATAAACTTCCAAAGGTGATAAATTGTGAATCCAGCAAGGAGGGATTTACTGAAGGTGAAAGTTCACAATTCATGTCTTCAGTCAATGCCGATACAGAATATAGGATCCCCATTAAGGAACTTTTAGGGGCTATAAGGAGGCCAAAAGTAACACCGAGGAAGAGAGCGCAAAAGTAGAAGATGCACAAGCCAACTTTATATGAACCTAAGACTCGAGCGGCCAAGGCTCATGCTGCTACGACTAGAGGGTCGTCCTCTTTACCAATACCGACTCTTGAGATAGTCAGTATCCATACCGATGATAGTGAGGAGCTCAAGACTAAATGGAAGCCAACCTATCTTAGGAAGCGTCGTGGGTGGAAAAAATCACGGAAATTATTGGTTGAACTAGGCTTAGATTTATATCTTCTGGTTATCCCAGACATGTGTCCAGAGGTGGCTCAAAAAAAGGAATGGTTACGCCTGCTAGAACCAGTGAGCTGTTTAGCAATTGATGTGGTGAGGTAATTTTATTCAGTCGTTCACCCTCAATCAGATGTGATGACAGTGCGAGGGAAAGAGGTTTGCTTTGATGCTGTGTAGATTAACCACTTTTATCATCTTCCTGACAACCAGAAAGCTCTTGGAAATCAGATTTTATTAGATCCATCTGAAGAGCATCTTAGTGAGGCAGTGGATACAATAGGGATGCCATTTTCCACGTGGGATATTTCAACAATGGGGTCCCATAAGCTTTCACCTGAGTATATTTCTGCAGCTGCTGCAATTTGGTTATATGTCGTGAAGAACATGATCATGCCAACTAAGGATGATCTATTATTCGGGATCAAGTTTTATTAGTATATGCTATGATAAAGGGATTCCCAATAAACTTTGTGATATGAACCAAGGAGCTACCTTTGTTATGCCTCATGGACCGATTACAAGATCGAGAGCTAGGAAACTTCAACAAGCTTTGCTACTTCGTGTCC